GTGTGGTTTGCAATAAAGCTCTCCACTTTCTCTTGCATGGCTGTGATTCGGCTCTGAGGTACCGTGCAGTAGTAGGGGGTATTTAGCTCTCGGTAAGAGGCGGATGGTTCCGCCCAATTGTCCCCCTTCTCAACTGCGTGAGAAAGTCTCGCCTCTTGCAGGCGGCTGTTTTTCTCTTCTGTACCCAAAGAAGCATGGCCAGAAGAGCTTGACTCGGAATTGTCCTCCGACGAGTCCGAAGAGGACGACTCCTCCCCTCTCCCGGAGGGGCCCGCCCCCTCTCTTTGAAAAGGAGCAGGTTTGTTCACTGTTAAATGGGAAGGGGTCACTATGACTCCCCCCACAGAATTGCCGGCATCCAGGCCGCCTTGTTTCACTTCCACATCTGGCGCCTAGTCAGATGTTTCACTAAGCGGCACCCTGTGGGAGGAGCCGTCTGAATTTGAGATCCTAGCTGTCTTTTTCGTTCTGGCCATCCTGCTCTGCATAGACACAGATACAGTCGGACTTTGTATAAAGGGCAAAGATGGGTCCGGAAAAGGGCAGGCGGCACTCCTAGTCCTAGATTCAGCCGTCCCCGGTGACCGGCTGATCACTAACCTAGGTCGTGTCGTGTGCTTCCGTGGTGCCATTTCAGAAAATAAAAAGAAAATTAAGAGTAAGAGAACTGAGTTACCTGAACGAGTGACGGTTGATGAAGTTCTGAAAATCCTGTGCAGTCGGCTTGTCAGAACAGGCGGTAGGCAGAAAAGGTCCAAAATGTCAGAGCAAGTTCAGGGGTCCGAATGTTCTCAAAAAGTTCTCAAAGTGTGAAAATGACTCAAGACAACTCTCCCTTATATAGGCGAAGTGAGAAGGCGAAGGGTCACTTTCAGAATTCAAAATTTGGGCGGGAAAATCTCTCGTCCTTTCGCCGACTGACACCTGTAGCAGGTCGTCGCCTGTTACAGTGCGACACCTGTCACAGGTAACACGTGACCAATCACGTGCCACCTGTGAGGGGAAAATGATTAGGGGATTTTGCTCCTCCCAATCGGAATGCGCCACGTGGACCAAACATGTCCTGCCAAGTGTCCCCCAGTTGGAACAGTCAGGGCTTCCCACGTGGCACGCGCTTATTCGTCCACCTTGGACCTGTTATGTCAAGACATGTGGCATACTCCATGCCTAATGGAGAAACCGGCCACCCAGGCCCAACTTCCGAGGGAAGCCCAATCGGCCCTAGGTTTACCTAAACCTAGGATGGGCACGTTTTCCAAGGTTATAAATACCTCCCTTAATCCTCATTAAGGGGGAGAACAGAAACATTACGGAAAAAACACATTAATTACACACAGTAATAACCGGCTGATCTCGCTAACAAAGCAGATTACCTACATTAAACACTCTCACCTAGAGAGACCAAATCACTTTAATTTCCGCATTAATTACTCCTTAATCATGTACTAACTTGACCGTTGGAGGCGGAGCTCACAGGAGTCTCCGTTATTTTGCAGGTACAGGCGTCCGGTTCCAGTCTCGGAATTGTAACTCTCTCGCAGGACATCAGAAAACCCCGAAACAGCAATGATTTGAATAGAGAAGGCGAGATTCATATTGACGTATTCTGGAAGTGATGGTTTGCTTGAGGGTTTGTTTTCATCTTTCTGTATAGTTATTTAATTGCACAATTTCATACATATACTACAATTTAGTCAATAATGTTGAGCCACCTCGAGTGTGAATGCACCCGAACCTCACAACTTTCTAAATGTAAAGATATATATACAATGGATGCATACTTTCTAAATGTAAAGATGCACCATCCTTTTCTGACTCAACTAGAGCTGGAGATTAGGGAGGAGTTAAGTTAACTACTAAGTAATCGAAATTCTTAGTTGTGTACTTGCATGAAAGGAATGTAAGTTGTGCACTCTACTTGCTGCCTATTCTGCAGTCCAATTGGGCTTCTGGCCAAAATTAGTATCCTGGCATATGCTAACAAATTAAACCCATGCATCAAGAAATTTACACCTAAAACATTTTTCTTATATATCTATGAAGTGAACATGAGAGGAACAAATCCTATGAGTATTCGGAATCAGATTCTAGAAACGATTATGGTCTTTTGTTGAAGATCACACAACAAATAATCTCAGCATTGAACCAGCACAAGGTTGTACACTTGTACTTGTGCCCGTGCCATTTATGGAAGAATAGTACAAATCCCCCTTAGTTTGCACTTTTAAACCTTGAGGTCCTTGCCCATCTTTATTTGATATTCATTTGGTTTTGACAAACGAGATTTGTTGGTGTATTTGACTCATGAAGTATCATGTTGACAAACTATGGGGGCAGGTTGCAACATACAACTTTAATGTGCTATTCCCCCACCCCACCCCACCCCACCCCCAGCATAAAGGTATTGAGATGGAGGAACAATATTGGTCTATGGCTGTGTACTTGGATTTGTTCTTGTTTGTGATTCTCCCCAGCAGTTACAACTTGTGATGATCTTTAAGATTAGTCTTGCACGTGTTTGATAAGTGTTTGCTGACTTAGCTCGATAATTGATGAATTTTGTACAAGTTCTGATGATCCTTCAGATTAGTAGTCGACTACAAAAGTTTTTGTTTGTAATAATGATGATTTTCTGAAATTTGGATTTTGTCTTTTTCCAACGATATTTATATATGCATTGCTAATAATTATTTAGTTAAGTAACTTCAAGCACCACAAAGTATATGTGAGTTTTTGTGTCAATTAATGTTTCGCTGGGTGTAACTTCTTGTTGAGAATTTGGCCAATTAATTGGTGATTGCTCTAGTGCAGTTTGAGGTGCTATGAGAACTCTTTGTAGATTTTGTTTGATCATTTGTGTCATATCTTTTGAGCTATATTACTCTTTGTTCCGAGAGAGCAAGATCCTTTTTTAGGCAAAATCATTGTTAATTTGTGATTATTAGTGATGGAGTCTGTTAATTTGTGAATGGAGTCTGTTAGTTTGGTAGTCTAACCTGCATAAGCTTCTTGACCCATGCTTTTTGGCAATGGTTATGAAAGCCGAGTACCAGGATTACATCTAGCTTCTCCTTAATGGCAATCATCGTAGGTCACTATATGTTAAAATAAAGTAACTATTTTATTAATAATGTTACTATTATAAATATAAAGGACTATGTGTTCATTAATGTTAAAAAATTGACAATACAAGGGTATTAAATAAAGATTACTATTTAGGAATAAAGATCGCTATATTATGAAAAAAGGTTACTATTCTAAAAAATTTAGCTAACAAAATTAAAGATTACTACATTAATCATAAAAGAAACTATATCATAATAATTAGTATTTAAAAGCCACTTTATTTGTTCTCTTAATCTCGATCTCGAGTTCTTTTCTAATGAAATCCCTCTTAGTTCTTTTTTTATATATTTAAATAAGAGTATAAGCAGCAGAGAAGTAACAATGACCTGTGTTAGATATTTAGTAAATTTAGTGCATATATCATTTTCAGTGTGAACTCATGTACGTTGTTTGTGAGTAGGTTAGTAGGTTCAGAATTTGTATTTTATTCACTGCTTAATTTGTATATTGTTCGATTACTTTCAGAATTTGTGTACTCAATGATGATCTCTGTCTCTACTGCGTCTCTGCTATTTGAATTAATATTGCTGGATTTTTGAGTTTGGATACTTTGGTTACTGGCCTGCATTTTGTAATTTGCAATGTTTCTGTTTTTTAAGGTTTATTTATGTGATTCTCTAGTCTTAAATTTTCTGGTCATTATTGTTTCAGAAAGGTCACTATAATTTACATTTTGATTTCTTTTGTATCATAATGGTGCCAAAGGCTTGAAGAAGAAAACTAAAGCTAACAAGAAAAAGAATATTGCTATTGAAGAGGTTCATGAAGGTGCTCTTGAGCATCAAGTTTCTGCAATTATATCACCATCATCTCGTCGTAAGAGAACTCATGATGAAGCTGAAGTTGAACCTGCTTCTCTCGTTCGTCCTAAGAAGCCAAGGACTAGAACGAAGAAACCAATAGTTGAAGCTACTGAATCTGGTGGTGATGTGCCTACGTAAGTAACTTAGCTATGAAAAAGAACAAGTCGACTTTTGGTGTTCAAGCATGCATGATTTCCTACTCTAATGTGAAATTTGGAAAGCCTACCAACAATAGTGCTTTGTTAGATTCTACAATCTGCCCTGTTACCAACAATATTGCTTTGTTAAATTCTATAATCTGCCCTTGAATGCATTGAGCTTACAGTATTTGTGAACTTCTCTCTCTAATACTTCATTATCATCGTACATATTATGTGAAAAATTAGCTTCTCTTTTTTTTTGGAAATTTTTTTGTCAGACTGCATTGATTTTTTGATTCGTTAACTTGATGTTGATTTAATGTTGATAGCATTATTATTTCTATTTTGCAGAATGCGGCCATTTAAAACTAAATGTAGGCCTTTGCATTTGGTTGACATGATGTCTAACTTTACTCTTGATCAAAAAAATTCTGTAAATGAAATTGGTCTTGGAGGGTTGTTATCATTGAAGTTGAAAAGAAATCCTACTAGTATGTACAGGTGGCTAATTGATTCTTTTGACTTTGGTAGCTGCATGTTTTCAATTGGTAATAATAAGGAGTTTGTGGTGAATGAGTATGATGTGTATGACGTGTTTTGCCTTCCTTTGAACCCCAAAAATGTTGAGGAGATACCTAGATCTGCTAATAAAAATAATCCAGACTTTGTTTTCAAACATAATTGGAGATTGCATTTTGGGTTAACAGATGAAAATGATCAAATTCCACTTAATTTGTTAGAAGCTAGGATACCTACTTTAGGCCAAGGTGGAGATGAGTTTAAGCAACTCTTTGTTATGCATGCTATATCCACGTTTTTAGCTCCTACTTCTAACAGAACTGCCGATCTTAGGATTGTCAAGGCACTTGATGATGTTGAACAAATTAAGAATTTGAATTGGTGTAAATATGTTCTGTAAAAACTATGTGAAGGTGTTAAAAGTTACAAAAAAGGAGAAATTCAGAACTGTTGTGGTTGTGTTTTGATGTTGGAGATTATTTACTTTCATAGGTTGAAATTTAGGAATGTTGAATTAAGTACTTCTTTAATTCAACATTGGGATGATGAGTTGATTAGGGATAGAATTAAGAAGGAAAAATTGTCCAAAAGTTTTGGGTGTGGGATTTTACTGTCTGATGTGTATCCTGTTAGTGGTAAAATGAAGTTTCTGGATGGACATGTTGTGGGTATTGCAGGGGGAAGTATGGGGAATGCTGGGGGGAGTGATAATGTTGTGAGGAATGTCGGGAGGAGTGGTGATGTGCCTGATTCCCAGGGTACAATACAGTTCATTCTCCCAGCAGGTTCGATGTCAGATCAAGAGATCCATTCGGCTGCTATTGATGTAAGGAGTAGCTGACTTTTATTCTATATTATTATTTTTATTATTTGATATGATTTAAATGTTTATACATGTTTCTTTTAATGTTTTTGCAGCCCGTTCATGAGCAATTTTTGTTCATGAAAAGAGATATGCATGTGATCTCTTCTTTTTACAATGATAAGATAAAAGAGATTCTTCTTTCACGTGGTGAGGCCAACAACTCTTTTGGCTCTTCTGGTATTACTTTGTCCCAGGATGATTCGTTTTTTTATGGATCCTCGAGTTCAATCTGTGATTGACGAGATCTCTGAACTTGCTATTTGGGTGACAAAATTACCTGAGGTGTTGGGTCAAATTTCTACATTTGACCACAACAAAACAAATGGAGGGAGGGAGGCAATTAGAGGCACTATCCCTGTGATTGGCTTTGAAAATATTCTTGCAAATGGAGGGTCCAGGTGTTCGTTTTCTTTGGATTGGAAATCTGATGAAAAGCTTATATTCATTTCACACTTTTTGAAGTCAAATAACAAGGAAATGAAACTATTGGATCCATTAGTCCTAGAGATTGTTGACTATTGCATTATCAATGATTCTTGTTTGGCTCCTAAGTAAGTAATCTTTTGTTTGATTACATTGATTTTCTCTTATTAATTTAATTATGAAACACCTTTTTAATTCTTATACTCTTTGACTCAGTGAACTGTTGGTATTTTTTCACCAAAAGCATTTGATTCGAAGGCAAGAATTCTACACATTAGGAGAGCCTTCTGAAATCATGAGCAATAGTATTTTGGATTGCTGGGCGTTGCTTTTGAATGAAAATCAGAAATATTTGAAAGATGGACCTCGGAAATTGTACTTTGGCTCTTCAATTAGTGTGAGTTGTTTAATTATTTCAATGTTTATACATATTTTTACTTTTTACTGTTTTTTTGATTTGTTAAAATATTATGTAGGTTACAATAGTAGAAGCTGCTGGCAGTGATGACAATTCACAAATAATGGACAATGTTTATCAAGGTTTGGAGGAGTGGATGAAAATAACTTGCAACGATTTTGATTTGTTAGAAGTTGAGTTGGTAATACTTTCTGTTTTTTTATGCTTTAAAACATATAGTTCCCTTTTTTTATGTTATAGATACCTTTTTTTAAATGAGAGTGACTATTGAAAATTGCATAAGTATATTTTTAAAAGAGGTCATTATAATATCAAAAATGGAATATATATGTGTTTTTTTTTATTCTGACTAATGGTGCTATTATTATTGCAGACATTTTTACCTTGTCTTTGGGGCAATCACTATTGCTTATTTGTGGTGAATTTGACTAAAGAAAAAATTCAGTTTATTGATAATCTGAATTATGATGAGGATAATCGTATCTTTTTGAAAAAGTTGTCTAGTCTCCTAGTATTACTTTCTCACTTTTCCATATCTTGACAATTAAGTTTATTGTTTGTATTGACTTGTTTATAGTGAGCCACATATTCTCACTCTTTTCTTTTCTAGTGTTTTGGAGTTTATTCCTGGCATTTTTGTTGTTATTTGTTGCTGATCTTGTAGAATTTTACGGTTGTTATGATCCTTCTTGTTGTGATAGCAGGAGTATGGTTATCATCTGATCTGATTTTTAGAGATCGATGAGAATGAATGATTGATTATATGATGATTTATAACGGTTGATATGAGCGTTTTGGATGGTTTAGTGAGCATTGTTTACATTGATATACGGGTTACTATATTAATATACGGGTTACTATATTAATATACGGTTTACTATATTAATATACGGGTTACTATGTTATAACAACTCTTAATAGATCGTTTAATGCGACTGTGATCTGACTATATGCTTTTTTGCTAGTGTGATATGATCAGTACCTACTTTGATAAAAGGCTTACTCAATCGGGAGATATGGTTGAATACGCTTTGGAGTTTCCCACTTTGAATTGGAGATCTAGCAAAGATAATTCAGATTCTGGTGTTTATGTTATGATGACTATGCTTTTATTCAATGGAGCTGATGAGTTTAAATGTGAAGTTGTAAAAACAGTTATGTTTCTTTCCCTTTTAAATTATTTGTTTAATTTCTTTTTATTAATATCACAATATCTTATTTTGATTACTTACTTTTCTAGGCTTCAAATAGGAAGATTCTCCGGATTCAAATTGCTGCATCTTTGGTGTTATCTGATATGAATGAAGCTAGATCAATTATAATTGATAAGGTGGCTGAGTTCAAAGCTGACAGGCAGCGTCTTTCAAAAGAGGTTGAAGAAAGAAGAAAGAAAGTGATTGAAGAGAGGAAGAATAAGAAGAAGCCAACTGAAGACAAGAAGAAACTAAAGGGGAAGGCTTAAGATGTCAGAACATGATTTTTTGACTTAGTTATTTTTCTGATGCTAAGTAAAGTACTGTGAACATTGAAGACTGGTATTAGTATTAATTCAACTTTTGTGTATGATATAGAAGAAGATTGGAAAAATATTCTTTTATGTAAACAAGCATTTGCCAACATTTTATGAAAATGGTATATTGTTTGTTTAAAAAAAAAGTCTTTATATTAATATACGGGTTACTATATTAATATACGGGTTACTATGTTAATGTGAAATGTTATTCTAAACTTATCTTTATAAAGGTCTTTATGTTAATATTAAAGGTAACTATGTCAATATTAGAGGTTTACATTGAAATGAAATGTCACTATATTATCATAGGTCACTATATGTTAAAATAAAGTCATTTTATTATTTATAAGGTCTTTGTGTGGTTAAAAAAGGTCAATTCGCTTTCAATATTGTATAGTGTGAAAATTAAAAACTATGTTAAATTAATGGCAATTATCGTAGGTCACTATATGTTAAAATAAAGTCACTATTTTATTAATAATGTTACTATTATAAATATAAAGGTAACTATGTCAAAATTATGGACTATATGTTCATTAATGTTAAAAAATTGACAATACAAGGGTATGAAATAAAGATTACTATTTAGGAAAAAAGACCGCTATATTGTAGAAAAAGGTTACTATTCTAAAAAATTTAGCTAAAAAAATAAAGGAGCTCAGTAAATTGCACTGCTCGTATAGTGAGTGACCGATAATACGAGTAGAAGTTATTCTAGCATCGACGCCAATGATCAGCACAATTTTTTTTGGTGTTGACGCGTGGAACTATTATCTTGTCTCCAATTGGCCGGCATGTTACTGAAATCTCAAACTTCTTCATATTCCTTCCGAATCTTTTTATTTATTTATTTATTTATTTATTTATTTATTGTAATTTTTTAACTTTATTTTAGGGGTGAAAATTTTACCATAATCATTTGAAATATGAATAGCACATGATTATATAGTTTATAGTTGATATATTTTTTTTTTTCAGATAATTAATTTTATTGCTTTACTTTAGGTATAAAATAGTTTTATCAACTTTTTTTTTATTTATCAATTTTTTAGTTTCATTTATGCAATTTTTATTGTTATTTTATACTGTAGTTTCTAAAAAAAAAATTACTAATTGTCACCATTTTATATTGGATTGAAAATTTCAAAAAACATATTCATATTGTAGATATAATAAGACTAATAGTAAAAAAAAAAATAAGACTAATAGTCACCATTTTATAAGGTGGTGAAAAAAATAAATCACTTATATTATATATCACTAAAATAATGTGGTAGTCATTTTTCAAACAGCTACTGTAGCATCTTGATCTGTTATATTTTTTTTTGGTGTTTGTTTTTCTTTTATGTTTATGCATACTCTTAATTTTTTCCTTAGTAACCAACTACGGAGTACTTTTTGTCAAAAAAAAAAAAAAAACAAAAAAAAAAAAAAAACTTCGGAGTACTTGTTATTTTGAGGAGATATCTATAAGAGAAATCAGAAGAGTATAGTGGGATATAATGGACGAAATAGATGTTTATGATAGGTTTAGAAGTTTGAAGATGAGGTGGAGATATTATGTTCATGAGGAGTACTGTATGTGAAGGGGACTTTTTTTTTTTTGAACGATGTGAAGGGAACTCTAGATTACTATAAGCAAAATTTGTTTTCAATGAAATATCATTTGCAAGCCAAGCTACACCATTCAACTTATTTAAAACATAAAGATTTTCTTATTTAAAAATTGATTGAATCAGATTAGAGCAGATGTAATCATACTAATTCCAATCTTTTAGAATTAAATTAAATAACAATTAAAACAAGTAATCTATGATCAAATTAGATTATAAAATTTCATACAAAGTGATAAATTAAGTGAATTGAACATTATAGTGGATTTGATTGGAAAAAAACCCTAGCCCCTCTTTCCTCTCTCCTCTCTCTAAAACCCTAATCTCCATTGTTGAATTTTGAAGGGGCTTCCATCGGATTTACCGGTGGAAAGCCCTAATCATTGTTTCTTTTTGTGCCTTTTCTCTTGCTTTAAGTTTATAATAATTCTTCCTCTTCTAGGAGAATATTTCTCCCTCGAAAGACAGGGTTTTTCTTCCTCTATAGGAGGATTTGACTCCTTCATTCGAAAGACTGGGTTTTTCTTCTCTCTTTTGAGGGAGGATTTGCTTTTTTATTTCATGGATTGCTATAGAGTTGTTTTATGGTTAAAATTTTGTGCGGGATTAAAAAAGAGAATAATATTTCGACAACAATCAAACGAATCAGACGGAAATTTTCTTCACGGTTACAACAGATCGATAGACCCCCTCGCAGAAGAAGGCTGTAAATCACAGCGATATGAAAGAGGGTATGAATAATGTACGATTTGCAACAACGATCGTAGCTTTGCTTACAGAATGTTTTTATTTGATTCAATTATTATGTATTTGTTAGATCTAAATCTCTTTGTAGATGTCGTATGACTTATTTATGAATCAATTTTATTTCAAAAAAAAAAAACATTATAGTGGATTTAATCATTAGTTGTGATTTTTCATTATTGTTCTAAGGGCATGTTCACATAAACTGATTGGAGCTAAACTGAACTGAAATGATTGGAGTTGAACTGGACTGAATATTTTATGAAAGAGGAAAATTAGAAGCTGAACTGAACTGATTGGAGCTGGACTGAACTGAACTGCAATTAAGTAAATGTGAATATACCCTAAATTGAAGACAATTTTTTTTTTAAAAAGGTAATGAGAAATACATTTTCCTAAGCAAATAATAAGACTTTATAAAATAAAATAAGGTTGGAAATTTATGACAAAATTATGTACAAATTAGCGTATTTAGTGTTTATATACATATACTTCGGATATATTTTAATTTTTACTTTCTATTATGACAATTTCATCAGATTTATTTAAGGAGTAGCAAAAATAGTTGTTTCAAAGATGTATTTTGATTCCATCAATCATGAAATTCTGTGTCTCAACCAATGGACATTGGTTGCACACGTGTTAACAGTGTGCTGCCCAAGAAAGAATTAGCCATAGAATACCAAGTTCAATTAGATTAATACTCCGTATTGTTTTAGTGGTACCTCGATTAGTCTACACAATCCTTAGTTTACAAATAAATGACAGATTAATTAAGTACTCCGTATAATTAAGCTATGCATTTTTTTTATTAGGGTTGGCGGGAGTTTGATGAAACTAGCTATAGCTTATAGGGAAGGCATGTGCTTCCTCTTACATCTTTCACCTAGAATTATTCCTCACAATCTACAATTAATGAAACTATTGTGTTACAGATCTTTTTAGTTAGCTAGTGAATTGAAGTTTATGATGACTTTCCCTCAAATTATAATAATGTATTAGATTAATACTTAGGATATGAATTATTAGCCACTTTATTCAAGTTATAATATTAAATTGATTGATAATAATATTATTGTTGCTTTTGGTTGTTAGGTGCAATGAGGTGACACCTAGCATTTTGTTTTTATTTTATTTTTTCATGGTTGCTATTTGATACGAGTATGAATTAATACAAAGTAATATTTACTGTGTATAATATATGACATATTCAGTACCGAAATTTTCATATGTGGCACGCCATATCATGTGGTCGAGGTTATTTATTCAGGGTTCGGTCAGGGGCTACTCTGTAAGGGGTTACTTAGTTAGGGTTACTTAATCAGTCAGAGGTTACCCGTTAAGTATTTTGGTATGTGTCATCAGGCCACGCGGTGTACCCAGTCACACAAAATACGCTCTATCCAATCAAGTAACCCCATAATAAGTGACCCTTGACCGATTGAGTAATCATGAATAAGTAATCCTGACCAAAGTGAAAAAATACAATTTATTTATTTTATTTTACTTGATTTATAACTTATAAAAACTTAACTTGTTGTGAATATCGTTTTGTAAGTAAAAAGAACAAGATAAATACCCCATATATTGCACCTTATTTGTTCTTGTATCCTCATTGACTTACAAGTCTTACAACAAAATATAACAACGAAAACCAAAGTTGATATTTATTCTAGTTCACTCTCTAAGTTCATGACACAATCCGTTTATCTTTTTAATTACAAATTTTTTATTTATTTAAATTGGGAATAAAATAAACCTTGGGGAAAATTAGGAAGGTAAGGCCCCGTTCTTTAGAGCTACTTTGCTCTGCTCTGCTCTGCTGAAATCTGCTTTGCTCTACTCTGCTCTGCTCTGCTTTGCTGAAATCTGCCCTGCTCTGCTCTGCTCTGCTCTACTCTGCTTCAATTTGCTCTGCTCTGCTCTGCTCTACTCTGCTTCAATTTGCTCTGCTCTGCTTAAAATTAACACTTAATATTAAATTATTATAATAATAATTAATATTTAATAATAATAAATAATTAATATTTAATATTTAATAATAATAATAATAAATATTTTATAATAATAATAATAATAAATAAATAATATTTAATAATAATAAATAATTAATATTTAATTATAATAATAATTAATACTTAATAATAATAATAATAATAACAATAATTAATTATTGATATTTAATAAAAAATAAAAAAAAAATAATTATTAATATTTAATAATAATAATAATAATAACAATAATAATTAATATTTAATAATAATAATAATAATAGTAATAATAATAGTAATTATACTAACAGTAATAATAATATTTGTAACTAATAATATTAATTATAATAACAATAATTGATTTTTATAATAGCAATTAATATTAAGATAATGACTAATATTTAAAGATAATACTAATTATTAATTTTTAATAATAATAATTATAATTAATATAATAATAATTAATATTTAACTTTAAAAATTTAATGATTATAATAATAATGCGATAATATTAGTAATAATAATAATAATAATAATTAATATTTAATAATAATAATAGTAGTAATAATAATAATAATAATAAAATCTGCTCTGCTCGGCTCGGCTGAAATCTGCTCTGCTCTGCTCTGCTTTGCTTTGCTCTGCTGAAATCTGCTCTGCTCTGCCCAGAAGCTCAAAAGAACAGGGCCTAAGTTGAAGATAGCCGTACTACAACGCAGTCAAACACTAAATAATGATTAAAATTTGATAGATAACAAGAAATGAAATGCCCATTAATCACAAGACGAAAACATATGAAATAGAAGGTCATTAGTGATTCATTAAGTCAGCTTCATTCGTCATCTAAACTCTACTAAAATAGCTACTCTACATCTATCATCTATGACGACCCTTTTCATTATAGCTAGGTACCCGGCCAGGTGGGTTACTTGTAACTAACGTTGAATTTAATGGTATTTATGCAACTAAATCATGGCCGCAATCGTGTCCACAACAAGCTACGTACTCATTTTATGTTTGAGAAATATTTTAGGGTTAATCGACTTAATTTTTGTGGATATATAGAGTTAATTCTGTAGATTATAACATACTTCGCATATATAATTCACAATATATATGGACTTAACTAGTGTTTGTTACTCCTATAGAAGTTTGCTTGCTAAATTTGGCCATGTTGATCTGTGTGAGACTGTGAGATATGATTTCAATTTGATCAGACTTTTTCTTTATCTTATTTTTGTAAAAAAAGAAAAAGAAAAAAATAAAAATAAAAATGCAATGTTCTTTAGTTTTTGCTCATTTTACTATATATATATATATATATATATATATATATATATATATATATATATATATATATATATATATATATATATATATATATATATATATATATATATATATATATATATACAAAGTATGCACTAAGCACACGATGCTAGATGAGAGGATGGGTAAAAGCTTTGAAACAAATTAATGCTTTAATTACAATTATCTTAAACGAAGTAATCAATTATATTGCGTAAAAAAAAAAAAAAAAGAAAAAAAGCATTTATAATGGAGGTCCCTTGAAAGAATTATACGGAGAACAAACATACAAGCTGTGATAATTCTAATACGCAGTAATTAAGTTACTGCATGTCCTAAAAAGAAAAACCTAATATGGAGTATTTTTTATTTCTAGTGTAAAATAAAAAAAATCAAGAAAACTTAAAGCATAAAATATAGATTATATAAATTTACGAGTCTTAGAGTTAGTTAACATGTGACGGTACTATTCAAAATTTACGATTGTATTCTGCCAACATAATTTTTTACCGATGCAATTTGATCTCCCTACGCCAAAAGGAGAAAATAAGTAAAATAACTATATACTCCGTACAATATATTAATGTTGAGGCAAGGAATGATATAATATAATAACTTATGATGAACTATTTATCTGTCATTAACAAAGAAAATAAAGGAAATCTTGTTAAGATGTTGGCGTCTCACTCCCCCAAGCGAGACATTAAGATTCCTTGTATTCAGGTTTTATATATCTTAATATAAAATTAAGGTATAAAATGTATAATTATAATTAATACCTAAATTATCGATGAATGTGAGTGAACGGCAAGACTAAGCTACTTGGTGATCTAGAAGGAACCATTCATATCATATCATGGATGACGACGAATATTAATACATTATTATGCATAATTTGCAACTTACAATTAATTAAGGAATAAGACACGTATCAACCAGTCATTATCTCACATATTACGATTGATCATTGATGGGGATATTTATATGTTTTTTACTCGTATTAGTCGTATCATATATTGTTGATTAATCTAGAGATGAAGTTTTTGTTGCATTTTTTCGGGTACATTTGATGGAGAAATTTATATATTTTTTACTCTATCTTATTAATATTATATTTAATTTCTAGATTTTTTGCTGCAATTTTGCAGAGGACGACGAGGTGTATAAACAATATTAATATTTCTAATAATTTGATTGGATGTGTATGAGATGATTTTAAAATGATTAATACAGTATTACTTTGAATTTGAAAGTAGTCATTTCCTACGTATTTGGAGGAATAAGACTCTTAATGACATAAATGCATTGACAATTTAGATTCAATTAGATCTAATTTTTGATGAATTAGTCATAAAAACTTGGCATATACTTAGTATAATGTTAGAAGTATTTTAAAATTTATAAGGGATTCAATAAGATTGATGAATAGTATAGGTGATGTATAATGAAATTGATGTGACTTGTAGGTAATATACAAGTTAGAAATACATAAATTCAATAGCACAATAAATCTCATACTTTCATGTTGTTGGGTGTTCAAGAGGTTTTTTTTTTTTTTTTTTTTTTTTTTTTTTTTTTTTTTTTTTTTTTTTTTTTTTTTTTTTGTGGGTGCTAAGAGGCCGGGTTAATTGCGCCTAGTTGGATGTAGAAAGTGAGCATTTGTGTTATTTAGTTTATATTATATCATAATTGTAGGTAAGCAAAAATTCCTATTATTGATATTGTTTCTCAATTATACATAGATGATATATATTTTTATTATGAACCGCACATGTCATAGTTAAAATGAAAGGTTGGTAAAATCATTTTCCCAATTTGAATGTTATTGGTTAGTAGTGTAGACATAAATTCAAGAACTTAACTAATATCGCGATAAGCTGACTCATTCGTATTGTGCAACCATCATAATCTAAATGCAATTGAATAATCAAGTTGTAGTAAACATTGTTGCCAGATTTATAAATCTTATTAAATTGAAATCGTAACAAAGTAGTGACTAAGAATTGTACTATTATTGTAGATTTGTAGTGTCTCATCTAGATAAGAGTTGTCATGATCAAATTAAATTTGCATGTTGGGTTCAAATCGATACCAATTGGATAAGTCAATTTTGGTATGAGTCATACAAGGTAGAAATTTAGTTTTAGTCACTTGTCTAGCTCAGTTGATCTTAACTTGAGTCATTAAGAGTAGGATAAAAAGAACATCAAATTTGTAATCTTGATTTAAAAAATGTACTGGTTAAATTGAGATATTAAAAAACAAAAGAAAGAAAGAGGGAGCACTTCTTATCCTTCATCAAGATACTGTAATACAAGTGTCTTTCTTTTGGGCCAGCTTGGAAAATTTGGCATGGATTATACTCACAGGAGTATAGAACTAATTATTTATGGCTAGACTCTAGTCTAGGCATCATCCCCTACACCCCTCTCTAAACACATCGTTTAACACCCCTTCCCCCATCTACCTACTTTCATAGTTTCTGCAGTACTATACCCTCACAAAATGCAGCATACTATTACTCCCTAAAATCCTAAAAAAATTTCAGTAACTTCCTCTACCCCACCAATATATATACCCAAAAAAAAAAAAAAACATCTTGTTCTCTCTTTATTTTCCCTCTCCATTATCTCTCTCATCTAAGCTTTAAAACTTCAACCATGGCGGACATTAGAGACGAAGTCAAACAACCGAAGCAAATTTCATCGAAAAAAAGTAGCGAAAATCAAAAGAGTAAGTATAAATGTTCATATAAATTTATTTTTTTAAAAAAAAAAAAAACTAATTTTTTGAGAATTTATTTGTGATTGTGTTTCAGGAAACAAATTGATAGTTTAATAACTGAAAATGTATATATGTAAGTATTTATGCTAATAATTCATCAATTTCAAAGTGATTATTTCGAATAATTAGTAAAATTAACATCTACTTGCTTCAATTTCATTTTTCAGTTTGGAGAAATCTATTTCAGAGAACAGAAACAACGATTCTTCAAAAATGTAAGTATATTACTCAAACTTCTTAAATTTACAAGAATTTATTAAAAAAAAATTATTAAATGGTTTATAATGTAAAAATTGAGATGATGGTGAAACACCTCTACAAAAAAACCGGCGAACAAAAATCTCCTATTGTAGATCCAACACTTTCAAAGATATACAAGCGTTAAGGCTGCAGATGTAAAAATAGTGTCTCGGATGCTTAGGTAAAATGAACAATTATAAAGCACTATATGTTCATTTTCATATCATATTATGAAAATATTCACATGTTTACCTATAATTACATGTTAATATGTATTTATTAACATATTCAGATTTGATTTTTATTTTATTTTAAATATGTGTTATTGATTTGTATAAAACATTATGAACGCATGCATACAAAACTTGGTAATACATTCAAATGTTTTTTTAATAGTTTATATATGTGCATTTACATTTATTAATATGTTCATTATTTTTAAATATTATGAGCATTTTTACATACATATATGAACATTTTTAAATGCATAATAAACAAAGCTAGATTATAGTTTTATACCATTTTAAGTGAAACATTTGATGGAATTTAGAGATGGATATGCTATTCATATTTTATAATTCATATATGAGCATCTACCTGTAAAAAAATATGTCATTTATATTAAAAAATAATGTTCATTTGTAGATACATATATGAAATACATACTGAACATTTTTTTTTTCTTCATATAAATTGATATAATCTATATTGTAGTGATGTGTCATTTAAAGTGGCAATGAGGATTACACAAATTGTGAAGTTTACATTATGAAACACATGGAAACATTCACTGGTGATCAAAATAAAAAATGATTTGTGACTTAAACCCAAACAATGTTAGTCCATCAAATGATCATTTACTTAAAATATATCGTTCATTTATATATTATTAAATAACAATTAATATTATATTATATATTCATTTTTATCAACAGGTAGACCAAATCAGGAAGCTGAGGATGCAATACACAACTCAACTAATGCTTTTGAAGAAAACACTGAATGTAGGATCAACAAAAGATTATCAAGAAAAATTACAAAAGAGCAGTATTACATGTTCATTTATAAATTTATATATGTTCATTTATACAAAGATATATGTTCTTATATGTGTTCAATAGAACTTATAGATTTTACTCGCTTAAGAGTCTTTATTTGGTATTTCTATTTTTTTTAATAGAATTTGATATTTCTTTTTTTAATATTGTATGTTAAATAGCTAGTATTTCTTTTTTTTAACATATTTAACAACTCGGTGTTTTGTATCTATGAAATGTTCATTTGCAAATAATTTACATCACTAACAATATTAAGGTTGAAAGAAAACATTGCTTAATAGAAACACAACCTTAGATCCATTACATGATAAAAATATAAAATGCAGTCTCATGAAAGTAGTAATTTAAAAGCTATGGTTTCCTAATGTACTCCCTCATTTACCATTACTAGTGAACCTCTTAGCTACATTTGTATTAAAAAAGACTAAGAACTTATCATACTTAATAGAAGTATGTCCTAAACCACCTCGAACACTTCTTAGAACTAACACTAGTAGTAGCTTGAACAGTTCTTGAAACACTTGTAGTAGCTTGAACATTTGTTGAAGCACTAGCTAGAAGCAGCGTGAACATTCCTTGAAACAATAAGAGTATCTTGAACATTTCTACTATCGGCTGCAATAATTATAATAAACAAATATAATATCAATAATGTTCAATTATATTATTATTATATTAAAAAACATATATATCTACATAATGATCATTTATCATTACATAACTGAACATCTTTATAACTCTACACATTAACATATAATAAAATTTGTTCACTATTTAAAAGGCATATGAACAAATACAAACCAATGATTATCATTAAAATAGACATATACACATATATATTGAAAATACAACAAAATTAACATAAAATTTATGTAACTTAGAAGTGTGTGATTTGTTCTTCTACTAGTAATTTCCATGGAAATTCAATCAACAAAAATTTCATTGATTGAATTTCCCATCAATTTTTGTCCCTCTTAAATTTTTTAGTCTCTAATTCTACTTTGTCTTTCTAATTGACAGTTATCATAAGCATAGCTGCTTTCTTTTTCTTTCCCTAATCAAAAAAATTTCTTAAAGTAGTTTTATTTTTATTTTATTTTTATTTTAACTTTATTAATGTTCATTTTTATATTGATAAATGTTCATTTCCATATTGATACAAGATCACTTTATTTTATATATATTTATTGCGATATTGATACATACATGTTTTATGTTCGTTTTCGTATTAATAAATGTTTGTTTTCGTATTAATAAATGTTCATTTTTTATTTTGATAAGTTAATTATTTCAATTTTGATAGACATCCATTCACGTTTTGTAAATAATGTGTATTGATTGTTACAAATACGTACTCTTTTTTATGTATAGTATGGAGTAGTAGGTAATTAAGTATATGTAGTACTTACTACTTAGCCTGCCTGTATCATTTGTATGTCACACCTAAGATAAAAGTATATTTTATGCAAGCAGTAAGATACTAAAAAATTTGAGTAGAGCTTTGTTTAACCACATATATTTTTTAATGCTCATTAATTTTATGCCATGTTCATTATCATTCCAATATAAGTTCATTTATATGTGAGTAGATGCTCATTATATAATATGTTGATCACGTTAGTTTCTATACTCTTTTAGGTTCATTTTTATGTATATATTGTTTTTTTTAATAGTTTTTCATGTGTTATTTTTCCTATCATATATATATAGCGTCTAATGTTCATATTTATTATATTTAAACTACTTATAAATAAATTTGATGTTCTTATCAAAGCCTTTTGCTTATTCTCATGTAGATACATAGCCAGGATATTAATAGATGTAGATTTCGATTTTTTTAGTAGATGTTTATACATATAGTATTGCAATTGTTCAATCCCATAATTTAAATGCACGGTCAAGATGTTTGTTAATTTTTGTTTTAATTTCAGGATATTTTAATAAATGTTCATTCTTGTATTGAAATATGCTCATCTAGAAATGGATGCATGTTCATTGTCATATTTATACATGTACATCAAGTTATGGATATATTGACAATATAGTGAAATCAATAGCTACAGGAGAACAAACTCATATTGCACAACCTATAGTGTTTACTTGATGAACTACAATACTTTCTTTTTGTTGAATGTTCATTTTCATTTTGATAAATGTTCATTTATATATTAGTATATGAACATTATTCGCATATTAATAGACGATCATTAGATTTCTGATAAATGTCCACACTTTTTCCATCTTCGATCTTTATATATTTTCTACATATTTAATAAGGAATTTCAAAAACAATTTGATTTTCTATAGCTTTTCATGAAAATGATAAAAAAAAATGTTCATTTATATATTATTTGATGTTCATTTTCATATGTATAAATATTATACTTTATATACTCCACAAATTTTTAATATATGTTTATTTTTCACATAAGCCTCAATAATTATCCTCAAACTCCTTTAATAATACAAAAAAGATAACTTTTATAAATTTTTAATCATCTATGAAAATAATTAAATGTTCTATCAAACCATAATTAAATGTTCAATTACAAAATATTATATGTTCATTTATGTTTGTCTTTCATTCATGAACAAATTCATTATACAGTACGGTACGGTGTTTCTGGTATCTTTTCTTCAGCTTTAGTCTTCATAATTTTCTCTCTCTTTCTTAATACTCTACAATCCTCTAAGCTTCATTCTTCATCTTTTTCTTCCCCCTCTCTATTACTTTCATATTTGGCATCAACTACAAAGTAAATTAAAAATTGGAACAATAAGTAATCCACAACTTTAGTTGCGTCGTCATCGCCTCCACCACAACAGTAAACTAGCATATATAATTCCAGATCTTCATCCCACAAAAAAAATCAGGAAATATTGGATCAAATTATTTTTATAATTTTTGTGTTAGTTTCTTGATATGGCTTGCCTGTTTGATTAAGCTCGTTATTTGCTTGTTGAACTAATTGATCGTAAGTTACGGCAATCAATTTTTGATCAAATCAATACACAATAATCTCTGCAATTCATAAATATATCTAAAGCATGCAAATGTAGCAATTCTATCGAAAGTTATTTTGTGATCGACGGAGAAGTAGAAATGGCAGAGAGATCAACAAAGATGTAAGATGGAGATCAAGTTAGATTGTCCTGTAGTTTGAAGGTGAAAGAAATTAAAAACAATAGTGATGCGGCGTCGTTTGTAAGGGGGTGCAGGGATTTCATCCTAGACTAGAGTCTAGGTAAAAATTTGTAAGTATAGAACATGTTCGATCATGTGTTGCATTGGAAGCCCTGCTAAAAGCCCAATTATCATTTCCCCCCCCCCAAAAAAAAAAAGAAAAAAAATCCAATTATCATTTAAGAAAATGTCGAAATATCTTTTATCTATTTAAAGTTTAGTCAATGTTAGCCTAACTTGTGCCCTTTTATAGGATTTTGCATATAAGACTTTGACAAGAATAATACGCCTAAATTTTAATGGAACCTTTATTTATGGATGAAATAAGTACTTTTATTTTTAATATTATTATAAATAAGTTTTGTTTGAGCATTATTTGATTAATTAATGGCAATATAAATTTGTGAATTGAGAGTGAGGGATAGCTCAAGTGGTTAGAGTAGGATCGATTCGCTCTAAGTTGTGAATTAATATTTTTGCAAAGTTCATAAAATTGGGGTTTTTTTTCTTTCAAAGTGGCTTATCTCTAGCAAAATGGGTCTGAACTATAAATTGAATTTAGGATAGCCCTCCACCAAATTCAATTTGGGCCCAAACATACTTGGTTTGAAAAAAGGTGGTACAAAGTTGAATAATTCTTTAAGATTACGATGTTGAAGAGGTAATACGGATAGTATAGACATGTAGTGCAGTTATAAATCTTCTTGGTTTTGAAATGGAAGAATGAGTTGTTTCGTGTTAAAAACTTATTCAACTAGGATCCACATTGTTAACGTAGAAGACAACATGATTCTTAAAGGTAAAAAATTATTTGTTATACATACATGGTTAACTAATCATGATTAACCCTTGATTACCACATTCCATGACCAATCTAAAACTGAACTACATCTGAATGTTGATTTGATTGCTCTGAAAACTAGCGTGTCTTAATTCTAAATGTATTTATATTTTTTTTGTAGGGGAAAAAAATCATATTAAATCAATATTTATAAAAATCAGTTTACATTTTTACACTAGTTATAATTTGAGAAAACAATGAGATTCAAACTTTTGATTTCAAAGTCACAAAGTAATTTTCCATCATCTTTATGGAACATATTTGGTTATTTAGGGGTGAAGCCAAGGGAAGGATGGGTGGAACTGGAGGCCCAACCTTTCTTGGCTCAACCTTTAACTTCTAAAATTAGCCCTAAAAATTTTAAAAACCTACAAAGTAAATCAATTATGTAACCTAAATATAACAATTGTTATGACAAAAGAGATACTAAGTGATTCTTTTTATTCTCGAACTAATTAAAATTTTGGCTTTGATGATTGTCGATAATGATTCTTATGCTAATCAAAACCGTATTCCAAGGTCTTGTTTACTCACGACAAGAGAATAATTGTATTAAGAATAACAACACTAGTAAGAGTCAAATGAGTAAAATAGTGATAACATAACATCGTGTGATATAATGGTAATGCTAATGCTAGCATTACCGCTATGAAATGAGTCTACTCCCACCTGTTTGACAATTTAAAATTCCTGAAAAGAAGGAAATTCAACCTCCATTTTTGGTCATTCATTATCTTCCCAATAACCTCTTTTTTCAACCTTCATTTCTTCTTACGTGCTCCTCATTTTCTCCCCTTTTCCACTTTTCTTTTTCTCTCTCTTCAATTCTATCCTTAAACTTCCATTTTTTTTCTTGCGATCACTTATATATAATTTATGAAGGTATGTTCTATTTTAATCATGCTAATTTTTTCATTTCTGAATTCATTTTTCATTTCATTTTTTACAGAACAGAAATTTCGATTGTTTTAATTATTTATTTCAATGGTTGTTGATTGAAGTTTTGGTTTTGGGTTTGTTTTATTGTTGAGTGTTGACATTCATGCATAATTTGATTGGTGA